TTCTCAACTTCTCTTAATTTCAGAAGTAAATTAATGTTGACTACCTGATCGAGTGATGCACTTTTTTTGTACAGCTGTGACGTAGGAAAATTTTATTTAGCAGGAAATCTTAGTGACAATGAGCAGCCCTTTATTGTCTCAATAAGGGACTAATAGTTTGTATGCGGAAGCACTCGGTCATCATCATGACGCGAATATTAGGAGACATTTTTCTTAAACTTGGAAAGAAAGACATATTGCAAGATTGCTACAAGTAAATGAACGACGATTGCTAATAAACTGTTAACTGAAACATTAGTTATAATTTAATTTCATTGAGCAATTATTTAATAAAGGTAAAATGCGAACTATTTAGTATGTGAAATATATGAATAGATTTTAAAAAGAACAATGAGAACGTATGCATGGGGGATAACAAAAGGCTGGCGGTTTTGGTAGGCGTTACTCGAGGAAAAAAGTAATTATAGTTTTATTGAATTGAAAAACTATTATTACGTAGCTTCCTTTCGGCTTCAAAATTTTCATTTAACACACCCCAAGTAAGCGGCTCCTGTACACGCATCTTTCCTTTTCCAGGTATTTTTGAGACTAATCAAGTTGCTTTTAAATAGGTGATGCTTTGATTTACCCTCATGAATGAAAAATGCTTAGCTGACATGAAACATCAAAAAGCTGACAATCCACTCCTTAAATTCCACTTCCTTTTTTGTAAGAATTCATGATTTATTCATTATTTTTAATGAACATTTTTATCAAACATGTATGGCTTAACTTTAAGAATACTTTTAACTTTTAGATCCTAAAGAAGAAGCCTAGTAAAACAAACGGCTTTCGACTGTCAGCTGTATGACTTGTAAAAAAATTATTCTTATAATGGCGAAGGATGGCGCTATAGTACTGTCGTAGATTGACGACGGAAACCAGTCAGGTAGCGTCGCCAAATGTCGGCTGTTTTCTCAGGCTACGCTGTCGTCATCACAAGTTTTATCGATAGCGGAAACGCATTGAATCCAATCCAACACCACGTACGCATATTTCTTTAGAATGTTGATTAAGGATAAAGTAAAGTCTAAAAGGCCGAATGATCAACCTACTTTTAGAATTTTTTAGCGTACTGTACTTTCTGAAAATACAGTAACCTAAATAAGAATTTCGTNTACTGTCGTAGATTGACGACGGAAACCAGTCAGGTAGCGTCGCCAAATGTCGGCTGTTTTCTCAGGCTACGCTGTCGTCATCACAAGTTTTATCGATAGCGGAAACGCATTGAATCCAATCCAACACCACGTACGCATATTTCTTTAGAATGTTGATTAAGGATAAAGTAAAGTCTAAAAGGCCGAATGATCAACCTACTTTTAGAATTTTTTAGCGTACTGTACTTTCTGAAAATACAGTAACCTAAATAAGAATTTCGTTGATTTTGTTGACTAATACTGAATTTTTATACGAATTTCCTGCAGGCAGAGTGTGCTTGCTAGAGCGAAGAAAATTGAGGTTAACATTATATTACTGTATGCGGATAAAATTCAACAGTAACAATTATCACGAGAAAACAAAAAAGCATTTGTTCCAAACTCTTACATCATCAAATGTTAGAATTTTCCGCCTTGAGGGTTTAAATTGAAATTCCTTTGCTGAGAATATAACTTTATTTGGACGGTGAGGCACAAGGAGCCACAGAAAAAAAACGAAGAAAGGTAAGATAGCTTAGGACCCGGGACCGGCTAGCTTAAAATGTTCAGTTTTGTCCTCCCTGCAGTTAGTTTCCCTGGCTGTTATTTTCAGTTAAAGGGCTTGTTGAAAACTCGCAGTACTTCAAAATTCTCGAACATCAATTCGATTGAATATGACGTAGCCGACTTCAACCCGTACATCCAGTGTCAATATGTTGTTTCTTTTCCTCAGAAAATCTCTTCCATCAACTTACTTTACCATTATATCACGAGCAAAACATACCACGAGGGCATCCAACGAGAATATACCTCAAAACCACTTAAACATAGCATTTTTAAACGTATTTTAGTACTTAAACGGTTAGATATAGGCATATATTTATCCCCCCCCCCCAAATTTTTCATCTGTTAGGATTTCCTAGCTGAAAGTCTTCACTAGTGATCCGAAAATTGTAGGGATCAAAACTTACCTTTTCGAAAATTTCAGCCAGAAAAAAGGCTCCTGAAAAATTTAAGTGACCTTTTAAGGGTAAAAATCCGTTAAAAATGGGCAATTATACCATTTTTTAGAGGTTCGAAAATCCTAGGAGAGGTAGGCAAGAAAGAAATTTTACAACAGATGTTCCGAATTTTCTAGATCTCAAATGGTCTTCCGAACAGATATTTTCCGAAAATCAGCTGACGTTCGGTGTCCCTGACATATCTCTGAAAACTCCACCTGAAGACAAGATGGTCTGTCACTATAATATTGAGTAAGCGTGTGTGAGAAAATTGTAGTGAAGAAACAGACATAAGTGTTCAAAAAGCTTCATATTAAATCAACGTATTACAAGCGTGAAATACAGTAGTAAGGAAAAGTATTGCGTTTCAATTACCTTTATTACCTTTAAAATCTGCATAGTAGTGAACTTTGCGGTTGTAGTTGTGGAAGTTAAACAGTTACATAGCACATGATTAATATAAAACTAGGCCACGCTAACAACGTCTTTCTTAAAACGAGGTTCAGTACGAATATCAAGTTTTTGGCTATGGCATGAAAGACATTTTTTATTTTCACATGAAAGGTCCTGCACTTAGCCTCGACCGGATAAAATGAGGGAAATGGATCGGAAATGCCCTAATATAAAACGATAAATATTAAGACTCACTGTTTCAAGGGCAAAAAATTCAATTTCACTGATGTTTCTGCATAATTTATATTCAACGCCAGTATTCCATATTTTGTGGTTGTGCCGCTTGCCTGGTTAATTTTTTGGCCGTACAATTCTCTACGGTTATTGACGAAATCGTACTAAAATCGAAAGTGACTAAATAGTGAGAGCTTTTACCTTATTTATCAGAGACTGAGAAAAACATTCATAAATTTCATAGTTTAAGACGTTGCCAAACTTTTCATTTTCATTTCTAGCTATAGGAACGTGACTTTGTCCACGACCACATTCGTTCAAGAGCACTTGAAGGCCATATTGAATTTTAGTGACACAAAGAGAACTCAATTTTATTCTAAGCTTTTTTAAAAGCCTCCGAAGCCATTTCCGGCTAAGAAACCTCTATTTTTTGCCAGTTCTTTAATTGAGATCGACTTCTTACTTCTGTTGTAAGTATATATTATATATTTCGCGTACAGAATTATTTAGCCCTAGAAGGTTGAGGAATTATAGGCACAGTTTCGTGCAGAACCTAACAGTTTTGGAAAACAATGGTGGTTGTGTTAACGAAAATATATCGGGCTCAGATATAGATGTGTTGAATGTTTCAAACTGATTGAGAACTACAGACATCGTAATTTTGGACAAGAAATCAACAAGCACCTACAATAATATATGTCAATCGATAATCGAAAAGGTGGCTAAGACCAATTCAGAATAATCAGAAAAATACCCAGAGTTAAAAGGAGAAGCCTGAAGCGTCTGTGGAACTGAAGTGTTAATTTATTTAAGTGTCAAACTAAAATAGCTGCTGCAGAGGAACGGTATGATTAGGGCACTTTCTGATCTAAACTTAATTAAATAATTAACAAATATGATAGTTATTTTTGGTTTTGTTTTGTTCTCTTTTGTTGTATTTTTTCACAAAAATAGTGCATCCTAAAGTGCTTGAGGACAGAGGTCAGAATCATCTGAATTATTCGAAAGAAAAGTGTTTTTACCCCTTTGTTCTCGAAATATACTTTCCGCGGTTTACATAACACTATTTTGTAACTTAAATGTGTCATCGATATTTTAAATGTACTGTGGTTTGGAGGTCAAAAGATCAAGTGCGTAAATGGTAATGAGCAATTTATGAACTATTCCTTTTCTTTAACTCGTACTAACTGGGAAAAATTTTACCAGTCTTAAAGATTGTTTTCAGTCACGTGATTGCCTTTTAATTTGGCGCCATATTGGTGCACATGACATGTAACCATATAACACGAAGCTAGTTCAGTAGCAACAAAATTAGGGTTTTATGCGCGGTTTTTGGCTTTTGGACGAGAAGTTTCCGTGATAAGGGAATTCATATGGCAAGATTACTTTCATGACGGGCAGCAATGAATTTGTGTCAATACAATTCTATAAACTGAACATTTTTTCCTTTTTTGGCAGTGGCAGTAGCGTCTTCGCAATCATTACCAGCTACAGTCTTGGGAAAGAGAGGCTACAGAAGACACCATGGAGCTCACAATAAAAGTAAGCTGTTTTAACTTTTAGCTACATGTGCTGGTCTGCCAAAGAAAAGATCCCACAAAACGTTTTACGGAAAGGTCCGAGTATTCATCCGCATGTTCAAAAATTAGCCTGAGAAAACAGCCGACATTTAGCAAAGCCACCGTGGCGTCTGATGAACGAGTGAAGAAATTTCATACTGATTACGTGACACTACCCAGATCTGGGTAGTCCTCCTGATTTTTGGCTGAAAATTTGCTTCATCCCATCAGAAGCACCAACCACATCTGGGTAGTGTGGCGTGCTGGGCCATCAGTACTACAGACTTCATTTTGCGGGAAAACGAGTAGCGGAGACGCGATATGTCAGCTGTTTTCTTAGGCTAATTCCAAAATCTGTATATTTGGAACACAATGAGCATGTGATCAAATTTCTTTAAAAGTATAACGTTTAAAGTCGACTGTTTGTTATGACTGTAGAGCGTTCAGTAGACCCACTCTGAAACTGAAAAATGGTCAGTAATATAATGCAAAAGTGCAGAGAAGCCAAGAAAAAATTTTCCCCTCCTGATAAGGGTTTATAGATACATCCTATGCAAGTTCTAGATTCTATGCAAAGTTACTTGCGTGATGCAAGTAAGTCAGTGTGTTGCTTTGCTTTAGTCCAGGGTACTAGCGAGATGCGAACTCCTGTGGCTACCCCAAAACCTGCTCGCCATGTGAGTTGTCCATAGCTCTGTGGTCAGAGCGACTTCTACCGCATCCGGAGGGTCGTGGGTAATAATAATAATAATAATAATAATAATAATAATAATAATAATAATAATAATAATAATAATGGAAACTTTATTTGTGTTTTTGAATTGACAATTGTAAATCTCGCTACGTATAGGCAATTTACAAATGCTGCTTGAGATTGGATTATTAAAAAGAAAAAAAAAACAAAAACGAAAAACAAAAAACAAAAAACAAAAAAACAAAAACAAAAACATAAACAAAAACAAAACAAAAGCCAAAAAAAAATCAAATTGCATTAAGTCTGGGCTATCCCAGTTCCTATTTCTACAACAAAAGATGTAATATGTTGCTCTAATGGCTATTTTTATCATTTTCTTGATTATATAACGTTGCTGCTTTTTGTCAATGCCAATGTCATTCATCATGTCTAAGAACGTGGAGCATTCATCGGAGAAAGCGCCAAGGGAACTCATGGAGAGATTTACAAATCTCACACATGTGTAATTTGTACTCATTTCATTGATCAAGTTAAGATATTTTTCTTTCTTACGCAGAACATATAGGCACTTGGACTGGATTAGGAAAATAATAATAATAATAATAATAATAATAATAATAATAATAATAATTTTTTTTTTTTTTAAAAAAATAGACAATTTTATTAAAAAACTATTAAAATCCTATTTACAATTAATTCGCTTAAAAAAAAGGAAAAACTATTCATGCAAAAACACTATTTACAATTTCTGTCGATTTAAAAAGCACTTAATTTAGCTTAAAAAAAAGTTAATTAAAACTAAGAAAAATTTTTTCGAATTAAAAAACATTTCATTTCAATAAAAAAAAACTGTCAACTTCTAAAATTCAAAAGTTTCTTTCAACTGCTTAAAAAAAAAAAAAAAAAAAAAAAAAAAATATATATATAATAATAATAATAATAGTTATATTAGAGTGGAACCCCATTAATACGGTCACCAATCGGTCAAAAAATGTTGGCCGTATTATCGGGGAGGGCTCAAATTTCATGACTTGAGGGCCGTAATGACAAATAAACCGTGCATCGCATTCGCATTTCTTGAACAACTGTTCTCATTAATCACTTATTTCCTGCAGTACATAAAACACTTTTAAAATTCTGCTATAAAGTTGCAACAAGTGCACTTTATGTGTGTATACTGTAGTCTAAAAACAGTGCAAGAACAGGCTCAGAGTACCAGCAGGTCAATAAAATTGACATGTCACAGGTATTTTAATTTTCTAAATTTCCAACAAGTGGCTGCATTAACGGATTTGAAATGTGGCCGTTGGCCGTATTAACGGGTGACTGCATTAACGGAGGTTTTCAATACGGAAATCTATGACCGTTTTGCTAGACCGAAAAAAAGTAGCCGTAATAAGTCTAATGACGAGGTGACCGTATTACCGAGGTAGCCGTAAGGCGGGGTTCCACCGTAATAATAATGATAATAAGACCGAGTTAGGCAACAGTAACTATAGCAATATTTTGTTCCACTGCATTTTTCTCAGGTGCTCTGCTTTGGACTCTTTCCCTTCCTTGTGTCTGGACTCCTTCGCCCATCTTCAGAAAATCGTCTCGGCTGGAGCCGCGTTCGCCGGCCTTTCACTCCTAAACCAATTACCCGCCAAGTCGTGGTTCCCCCTACTCGCCGTCCAGTGGCCCAAATTTCGAAGGAAAAATGCTCTCGTATCGTCGACAAGGTACCCAAGTTACCTCGCTATTATTACCGTTTCAGGAAGTTTAGACGTCCACTTTGCGTACGTCTTAATGAATCCCAGTTGTTACAGATGCTCAAAGATGTTGGAGGGTATAACCCAAGGTATGTGGGCATTAACAGAGAAGCTGTATGCAACTTCACCGACCTTTCACAAAACGCCAAGCTCTTACCAAGGAATTCATCACGGCCTATACGACCAAAACGACAAAAACGCATGGTTACTTTACCTGGTACCACCGTTAAACGAGGCTGCTGGGGGCGTGGCTCTTTCTTGGATAGAACTTCCCTCCTGCGCATGTGCACGGAATGCTCTACAACAACTCATCTTCCCGCCAATATTTTCCCGCCTTTCATCAACGAGGTACTTTGTGGCGATAATGACGGCTACTGCCACCTTCGTCGGGGGCGTTGCATCCAAAAGTTTCTCGTGTTTACCTTTCTTAAAAATACCGAAGAGTTTGAGCGAGATGACGACCTGAGCGAAGATCTTGGAATGGATGTCTATAAGGAAAAATACGATACGATTAATTACCAGATTAGGTCGTGCTGCGATTGTGGCAATTTTGCCTTTCCAATTGGCTAAGCGCACAATGTAGGAGACAAAACTTTAGACACTGCATGCCATAGTTAATCTTAAGAGAATTTTTACTCAGTAGCGAAGTTAGGGCCGTGGCAGGCTTCAGTCTTTTAGCCGATGAAGGCAAGAAAAAAAAGTTGCAATTGCAGTGATTGGTGGAGATTGCTTCTCGTATGTTGTATCACTACCTATAACATTCGAACGATTATAATTTTGATAAGAAGATCATGCATAAGTAAATGCAAATATAGGGCAGATCTTTTTAAAGTGACTGAGTAGCCTGTAAGATAATGATAAAGTGTAAACCAGCTGGCCAGCAAATAAAACATCTTCACGCACATGAATCAGTAAATCCATTCACTTTTGTTGTAAAAAAGACCCCACCGCCCCTTTTAACGACGTACCAAACACAGAAGAAATTCTTTAACCCTTTGCAGTTGTAAAAAACAGTAACTTTTTGAGTCATGCGCATCCGTACTAACGAAAAAGCATTTGTGTCCCATGGAGATCAGTGGCTTACACTGTAGACAGAGTAAGATTCACCTATAAAAGGAGACTTAACGAATTTGTGTTCGCGGTTGGAAATTTGTCAGTGAACGGAAAATATCTAAAGAAGTCTTCATAATAACCAATTTTATTCCGATATTTTCTCTCTTTTCTTCGGTACATCGGTGATTTAAAGAAAATGGAAAGAAAATTAGAAAACCATAAATTGGAATTGTTCCTTGCAACTGAACATAAGGACGTTCACAGAAATGAGTAGTCAAATGCCATCGTAATTTTCTCGATCTCTTCTTCCTCTATATCGGTCTCTCCTCCCCGGATGAGAGCCCGTTACCTTTAATCAGTTTTCACCATTTCCTTTGGAAGAACCGGTTAGAGTCGAACTTGTTTACTAACTGTTTGCTAACTGCTACCATTGGATTTTACTGACATTCAGAAAAACCAATCAAATTCTTGTAGTTGTATTCTAATGTCATAATCATAAAAAAAGTCAACATTTCAGTTAAAAATTATAATTCTATTTCTGATTCGAAAAAAAAAATCTATCGCTCTATCTTGCTTTATGCTGGGTGCAGAAATGATTGAAAGCTAAGACCAAGGACTCAAACTTGTACTTTTTTCGACTTGGGGTAATACTGTAATGCAAATGAATCAACAACAAAAGATGTTACCAATCAAAGTAGAAACGACAAGCACAAGAAAATCCATCAACTTTGTTGTTTAGTTCCAACAGTTCAGGCTTCAGAGGCCTGCACTCAGTCAGTCCACCATTTGTCGAAAGCTCGTCTGAGACTGGCCAATATTACTTTCTGGTCAAGGTTGCATTAGATTTTAATTATCTCTTTTAACTTTTTCTCGAAACTACGGAATTTTTGTGCAAAATGGTTTAAAGGAAGTGATGATTCGACAAAAGGGCTATTCTGGATAAGAGTAGTAACTTTTTTTTCTTTATTTCTTGGAAACACTGACCACGTGCTCAATGAAATTAAGGCATGGGTGTTTTTTCAATTTCCCTTAAAAAGTTGAGGGGTGGTCTATATTTTGAGGATTACGGCCTATAGCGACAAAACTTGAGTAAAATAATGACTCTCCAATGTTTATGCGATTCCGAGTAAAAGAATATCTAAATTAGGTAACGTGACCTTTAACGGCCATTTTGCGCGAAAAAAAACGTAAATTAGAAATGACACCGTTTAATAATAGCAGCCAATCAAAGAAATTGAAACCAAACATGTCCCTGGATGAACGAGCAGACATCTGTGTCCTGGCTTTGTTGAATAATTTCTTAAAAGTGTAAATTTACGGAACTTTGTACTAGTACCCTGTCCCCTTGTCAAACGAATTTCGAATTTCGTTCCTGCCTAAAAGATTAACTTAAAAGACCCGGACACAGAAATGATGTAACCACTAGTCTCATAACTAGCACTGTCACGCCAAATTTAATAGTTTTAGTTGGGTTAATAAATTCCATGTGCTTTTCTGACATCAATCCAATTGTTTTCGCTCTTTTCGCCCAGGTCAAGGCAAAGGCGAATTTTTTGCTTGTCCACGATTGGTCATCAGGTCACGATAACTGCAACTTCCAGGAAGTAATTAAAAGTGGTGCCATATTGCCAAATAGAATTTTGTGCTAAAAATAGCCTTAATAGGTCATGTGACAATTAGTGACTCCAATCATCATTCCAAATTGTTAAACTTACACGCAGGAAGTCTGTCCTTAAGTTTTTTTGTGTTATATTGAAAGCTTGAATTTGGACACCCCCCCCCCCCCCCCTAATATGGGCATAAAATATCGATTTAAAGTAACGGGGCAAATTGTTGTTCCCAACCTCCTTCCAAATAATTAAAAGTTCACTCAAGGAAACCTTTCCTATGTTTTATTTGTTTATATTTATATGTTGATGGTAGACCCCCCCCCCCCCCCTACCCCCCACCTATTTTTGAGGAATTGGTTCGTTGCTGTGGACTTGCTGACATATGACTGGCTGACATTTTATATAAATAGGAGACCCATGCCTTGAGTGGCGAAAAGCTAGATATAATAGGAACATTTTCCTTGTCTAAGTATTACTTTGCGCAGTAATTGAAAATTAATAACTTCCGTTAACGAGACTTTCGTAGCCAAGAAACTAAAGAGTAGCTTTCTGAGACATAAAAATGGAACGTAGTAATACATCCTCTTTCAAGCTAAGTACAAAAAATGAATTCAAAAATGATTAAATCTTTGCTTAATCTCTGTGAACTATAATTTAGCAGTTTATACCCGATGAAGATCGCCCAGGTATAATTCTATTAGAATTATTAGAAGATTATCTAGAAAAAAGAATTCATGCCCCGCCTGGTCGGGCGAGTGTGATACTACGATTGTCAGTGCTAAAACCTGTTCACGACTTGAAACGTTGGAAATGTAATTGATGGCAATGCGAAGGGTATGACTAAAGGCCAGTTGCATTTAAGAAGATGACGACTGAAATAGCCAGTAAAATGTCCGACTACATAAATCTGATAACTACCCTTGTAAAAACAGATTTTTTTCTTTGGGGGGAGGGGGGGGGGGTTCACCTATTTGAAAATGTATTCATGAAAGTATATCTGTTGCAGACTTAACGAGAGTTACTGTGCTTTTTTTACGATGAAATTTCCTTGGGGTGAAAGTAGACTTCCAAAACACGACTTTAAACCTTAAATCGAGTGCTTTGAGACTTTTTGGCTGCAATACATAAACATATTTATCACTTCCTACCTATACAAGATAGTATCTTAGATATCTTTTATTGCAATATTGAGTCAGTAAGTGAATGGGAAAAAGATTTCTTAGTCAAGAAACAGACAGCGTTCGAAAGGCTTTGCAACAAATAAACATATTACAAGAGTGAATAGTCAGGGTCAGTATGAAGACTTTGACATGAGAAATATTTTTCATTTTTATGCAAAAAAACTCATTTTCACATGAAAGGTCTTGTATTTAGCCTAGTCGTTACATTAAAGAGAGAATTTTTGGAACTCGGAAATAGCTCATGATTATAAAACGATAAAATAAATATTAAAGAACAGCTATTTTAAGAACATATTTTTTTGAATATCTTTGTTCTTTATGTGTTTTTGTTTCTTCGCATGTTCAATTGCTATTCCTTATTTTGTAGCTATGCTGCTTGCGGCGTTGGTTTGTTTCAACTTGGAAGAAAGGATATCTCAGTGGGAGAAATCGCACTATGATCAAACTTCACTAAATAGGCGTACTTAAAGGCGTAAAATAGCAGCAACAACTACAACAACTTAATCCAATTGTTCAATAAAATATTTTCATAGTTTAGTATGTTTTCCAAACTTTTCAGTTTCATTTCTTGCGAGAAACGTGACTTTGTCCACGAGCACATCAGTTGAAGAGCACTTGAAGTTCCTAGGACACAGCTTAGAGCACTTCATATTTTGCTACAAAGAAGAGTTCATTAGATGTTTTTTCAAAACCAAGGAGCTTCTATTTCTTGCCAGTTCTTCACGTGGAATCGACTTCTTTCCTCGGCTGATGTAAGTATTTCCTGAACAGAATAACTTAATAGTTTTAGAAGCGGACTGAAAAACTGTGCACAGCTGCATACACAGCCTAATACCTTATTGACTGGATAGATCATCCATCTGGGAATAAATTGAAGAGAATAACGGGAGAACGGGTTAACGAAAAACTACCCGGCTCAAATGAAGATGGTTTGAATGTCCCTATGCAGAAAAGCATTAAAATTGAGCTCATTACAGATCAAACATCGAAATTGTAGGCAAGAAATGAAAAAGCTGTACAATAATAGACGTCGCGTCTTCATTCGACAATAAAGGTACTCATGATCAGTGTTAAATAACAAGAAGTAAACTGAGGGATGCCTGGACATGAAAGGACAAGCATGAAGCGTCTGTGAAACTGAGAATTGTTAATTGTACCGATCACCATTGGCGCTTTAGAAAGCTTTAAGAACAGTCAGCAGGTGACTTTTATAAAAAGGGAGCCATATACAGAAAGCTGCAGGAGGTGATAGAAAGGTAATAGGGCGTGATATTAACTAATATCAGGCAAAGACGAATCAGATAAAATTGTGTTAAATTTACAGTGATAATGATAATCCGAGGTGCTATATAATAAAAAAAAAATTTAATAAAATGATTAAGAGATAGCAAGAAACTGTTAAATACAACTGACACATACAGTCGAATATCCAAGTGCAACCACCTCCCATAAGCGGCCACTTCTCCAAAACACTAAACTTTTTCCAGTCAAAGCGCTATAGCCTTGGAGTTGGAACCTCTCGTAAACGACCACCTCCTGTATTAGTAAGCGGCCGTGACCGCTTTTATTGGATGACGGTTTTATAATCTTTAGTCTATTGTTTTTGATTTGTTGTAAGCGACCACTTGATGTATGGTCTGATCTCTATATTCACTGTATGTACTATCATACACTATGTTCAGTGTGTATACTGATCACAATATACGAAAAACGTTTAGTAACAATACGCATATCGTAACTTAGAAATTGCATGCAATTATCTTACATAAATTAGATAACATTTGTAACTTAGCAGTATCATCCTTATTTAAAATGATACAGTAGCTTACAGTCAACTCTCGCCTTGCGGACACGACGCTATTACGGACACCCCGCTAATACGGAGAGTAAGTATATTGGCGGCCGTGGGCTTCTGTTAGCCATTATTGGCGTCTTCATTTATCCTATACAGCTTTATTTATACAAAAATTTCGGCGCTTAGAATATCAGTCTCGGTCTCGAATTTTAAAACCAGAGTTTCACTGCCTCGCAAAGTCTCGAATTTACCATTCTATACCCCTTACATTGTAATTAATGTATTTTAGTTAGTAGTATACACGACTGCACAAGCTTTTTAGCTTCAACTCTAGCATGTGAACAGAGAACCTGTTCACAGGCTACTTCAACTCTTATAGTTTCAAAATAAAGGTTTTATGTTGTGTTATTCTATGAGTGTTGAAAAAATCTACAGCAAGAGTCACCTGGCTCGAGTCCTGGCTTGTGTCTTCGATGCAGTTGTGTACCGCCTAACATGTAGTCGTAAACGATGAATGTAGTTTAACGGACGACTGCGCTTGCGTTTTGTCCAACTCGTAATAATTTCCCCCGCCTGAAATAGCCTGAAACCGAAATAGCCGTCCAATTCATCCTACTAAATGTAACGAAGATGAAGAGGCGGGACTGGCGGCAATTTAATTCGATGGTTTAATAAGAGAGGAAGCTGGAAAGTTGATATATAATATCAGAAACAATCCTATTAACTCAACATCTGTTCTTTTTTTGGCAGTGACAGAAGCGTCATTATCAGCTATAGTCTTGGAAACGAAAGACTGCGGAAGTTTTCATGGAGTTTACATTAAAAGTAAGAGATCATGACAGCTACATTTGTACTGGTTAGCCAGAAACAAGTTTATTTAATTTCTAGACTGAAAACTATTTGTATACATGTATGTGTATGGTGGGAAGGTCTGGGTGTTCATCATCATGTTACAAAAACTGTACTGCGTTCGATAGACTCGCTCTGCTGAATAATAATAATGATAATGATAATAATAATAATATTATCTTTTTTAAGAAAAAATTCATTTCATTAAACAAAAATTATTCAAATTAAGAACATTTCATTTAAATTAAAACAATTCATTTCGATTAAAAAAAGAAGAAAATATTTTCAAGGTCAATTGCATTCTTACTAAGATAATAACTAAAAAAATCACTAAAAAATAAAAAATAAAAAAATAATAATAACAATAATAACTATGGCCCTGTTTCCTTAACTAGTATGGTTGACATATAAGTTATTTGTGATAATCAACATGGCTTCAGACCACGTCGCTTATGTTTAACTCAGCTGCTCCAACTTGTCCACGAGTGGCTTGGTATTCTTGATGAAGAAGACAAATGGTAGTAATCTATGGCCATTCTTCCGGCTGGTCTGAGGTAACATCTGGGGTGCCTCAGGGAAGTATTTTGGGACCTTTGCTCTTTCTCGTTTATATTAATGACTAATTGCTTTAGCAGTTTAATGTAATTGTGGACTCTTTGCTGACGAAAGTATTCTTCATCGGAAAGTGGCTTTAAAGCCGGATTGTGGAGATCTTGAAACTGACCTCCATCATGCCTATCATTGGTGTACGTAACTCCTGGCTTGTTACTCTGAAGTCTGAAAGTCTAAGGTCCTACACCTATCGAGATCCAAGGACCCTTACCAACATGCATGAGTACTGATTATCTGGCAAACCCTTATCAGCAGTAGAATACCAAAAGCACCTTGGTGTCTGGCTGCATTGTGTCTTCCTTGTCTTGGGATTACCATATTAATTATATCTATGATAACGCTAATAAGGTTCTGGGTTTGATACAGCGAACCTTTGGACCAAATAATTCAGAGGGATCAGTATCGACAGCATATAAAACCTCCCCTTAGTGTGTCAAATTTTGGAATATGTTTGTCAGGTCTGGAATCCGTATTTAGTGAAGCACATCAATAGGCAAGCCACTGGAATCATTTGCGGAGCAAAGGAAGAATATCAGGAAAGACTTGGCCCTTGCCTAAAATGGCCCTTGCTCGAGTTACGAGGGAAGTTTATTTGCTTAGTGTAGATGTACAATATTATTTTTGGACACTGTGACATAGACCCTCATATATTTCTTGATTTTAATGTATCAGCGAAAACGCGCACTGAAGCCATACTAATTTTAAGATAAGACCTAAGAAGACACGTACAAATTACTTCAAATTTTCACTTTTTTTTTATCGCTTCATAAAAGACTGGAAAAGTATTCCATCGAACATTATGCATGCACCTTCATTAAGCCGTTTTACGTCCTGTCTATTAGACCATTTGTGTCAATTTTAAATCAGGTGTAATTTGTGAGCGAAAAGTACGCAATCAGTAATTTGGTTAGCTTTGGGCCGTGTATAAAATTTTACTTCTTTTATTATGTTTCAAATCGGAGAATACCGTAAAGCCCTGGGGCTTATATTTTATAATAATAATACTAATAATACTAATAATGACAATGATGATGATGATGATACTGATAAGACCCAACTACCCAACTACACGGTAACTATATCAATATTTTGTCCCACTTCATTTTTCTCAGGGGCTCTGCTTTGGACTCTTCCTCTTCCTTGTGTGTGGACTTTTCCGACCATCGTCAGGAGATCCTGTGAGCCGCATTCGGCCTTACACTTCTAGGCCGATTAATGGCCACACAGAAGCCTGGGTACCAACTCGTCCTCCTGAGACGCTAATTCCAAAGGAAAAATGCTTTCGTATCGTGGACAAGTTACCTCGCCACCATCACGTTTTCCGAGGGAAGGTTCGGCGTCCACTGTGCTTACTTCTTAATGAAACCCAGCTGTTACAGATGCTCAAAGATGTTGGTGGCTATAACCCAAGGTATGTGGCCATTAACAGAGAAGCTGCATGCAACTTCACCGACCTTTCTCAAGATGTTGAGCCGTTACCAAGGAATTCATCAAAGCCTGCACGACAAAAACGCATGGTTTCTAAACGTGGAACCACCCAAATACGTGGATGCCGGGGGCGTGGCTCTTTCGCTGAAGGAACTCACCTCAAGCGCCTGTGCACAGAATGCGCAGCAACAACTCAGCTATCCGCCAACATTTTCCCGCCCTTCATCAACGAGGTGAAATGTGGAGACGAAGACCGCTACTGCTACCTTCGTCGGGGGCGTTGCAAGCAAAAGTTTCTCCAGTTTACCTTTCTTAAACGTACCGGAATGTTTGAGCGAAATGACGACCTAAGCAAAGATCTTGAAGAGGATGTATATATGGAAAAATTCGACACCTTTGGAAAACGCATTAGGTCGTGCTGCGAATGCCGCGCTTTCCCTTTTCCAATTGGCTAAACGGACCATATAGGAGACAAACGTTAGACAATGATGCATCTGAGTTACTTTGTCTGTGTAGGATTTTTTAGGGTCTGTTTACAAAGAGAGAGGGTTATCCTTGTGTTAGGGTTACCCGAGCAAGCGGGTTAAAGTTAGCTCTTATTTACTCTTATTAACCGGGAGGGGGGGGGGGGGTGGTACTCCCTAAAATGGCCTAAACGGGGGGGATCCGCCAGAAAGGGGTACTTTTTTCAGGCTGCTGGTTTATGAAAGGGTAGGGATTTCACTAGTTGAAGTATATAAAAGGGTAGGAAAATCTGTTATTTGGGTCTGTGAACGGTCCCAAAAGGGCTAAAGATGAATTTTAAGGCTTTATAAAGACCAGAAAATGTTCTGTTTTTTGTGATTGATTCCTATTTAAAAGAAGTGCATTTACAGCAGTTAAAAGGGATGCGATCGCGAAGTTTTAAACAAGGTTTTTGAAGGGGGTTCCATTGGCCAGTGGCCAATAGAAGGTATACAAAAGAGGTACCTTTTTCTTGAAAAATGGTAATTATATAAAAGTGTAAGGAGTTGGACCTCGGGGAGGAGCCTAGCCCTATAGAAATTTGTTGAGTACACTTCCCCCCTCCCCCGGGTGATCTACAAGCAAATTTCACAGGTAGGGTTACCTGTTACGCGAGTCTACTTCACCTGCATAAATGACGTGTTTCGTCATGTGTAACATTCTTTGTAACGCACAAGATTTGCAATAAACCTTGAAGTTCTCTATGGAAAACACGTTAAATTCAAGAAAAAAAAGGGAAAATATTATCATCGTATGCAGAAAATACCTGATATAGTTCAGATGTTTATAATTTAGCTCAGAAATTGGATAACTCCGTTCAAAATTGTCAAGATCATGAAGATTATTGGTCACGCATGACGGAGGAAAGTTGTCCCGGGAAGGCGAGTAATTCCTAGCAGAGCGTTTTCAAGGCAGGAAGGGTAACCCTCTTGATAGGGTAACCCTAGCGCTAGGGTAACCCTTCCTGCCTTGTAAACACGTCGTGTTAAAAAAAGAAGAAATGTGCGAGTGCTAGGGTCACCCTCTTGCTTGGGTAACGGTAACACCAGGGTTACCCTTTCTCCTTGTAAACAGGGCCTTAGTCAGCAGCACTAGTCACGTGTTGCCATGGCGAGCGGACGCGTATTTTTCACCTCCGTCAATTCGTAATTTTTTTCTATTGCATTTTTTGTCTTAGTTTAAACATTTAAGATACGTAGTTCTGCCATTGATCTTTGAATGTATAATTTTGGTAATATTCTGTTGTAATAATATAACTTGGGGAGCCCTTCGTTATAAGCCCGGTGGCTTCCCTTTGGCTTCCTCGCCATTATTTTTTTTAAATATTTAGATTTTCTTGTTTTTTTGTACACGATTATGGCAAAACTATAAACTGAACTGAACTGGTCTGAACAGAAAACCCAGGGCCGCGGCCAGGTTCTTTTTAGCAGGTGAGGCAAAAAATGCAGGCGATTTATGGAGAGTGGTTCTTTTAGGGCCTGTTTACATGGAGGTGGGGGACCCCAGGTAGGTGAGGTAACTCGCTAAGGTGGGGTAACCCGCCTGTCCATATAATCTCACATTTTAATCTGATCACGTATACATGTTAGATGGAGTAACCCGCCACATGTTACCTCACCTACCTGGGGTCCCCCACCTTCATGTAAGGGCCTGTTTACATGGACGTGGGGGACCCCAGGTAGGCGAGGTAACCTGCGTAGGTGGGGTAAAAAAATAACCCTTCTTTACATGTAAGCTTACAGCCCAGCCATCCCGGGGTGCACATTTTCAAGATTATTGAATGGTCGCTAAGCACGTAAACAAGAAAAATGCTGGCAAACCTCGTGTTTTTGGCGATTAATTCTCTTCTACACTCACGCGCTGCTCTTGCTGCAACCTTCAGTGCTGTGGCTTTCTATTGCTCCCTTTAATAGTGATGCAAAGCTACCGCCAAAATGAATTTTGCGCGAATTTGATGTATTCCGAATCCGACCTCGGCTTGGCGGGTTACCCCACCTTGAAACGTTTATATGGCAAAATTTGACCCAGGCTGAGAGGGTTACCCGGTCTGGCAGACCGGGCTACCCGCCTCGGCGGGTCACTCCACCTATCATGTAAACGTGATCCAAGTAAAATGAGAGATTATATGGACAGGCGGGTTACCTCAACCGGGTTATCTCACCTACCTGGGGTCCCCCACCTCCATGTAAACAGGCCCTAAACAGAGCTCTGTTCCATCGCGCTTCTCGCATTTGCGATAACGACTCTCTGTTTCAGAAACAAATATCAGTGATCAAAACTTTCCTGTATTTGAGTGGTTTTCCTAGATCTGTTGCGTCTAACCTCATTAAATGTTTCATGTGTAGTGACTCTAAGCCAGGATCATCCAACAATTAAAGCTTTTTTGTACACGTAGTCTGCAGTTTCCAGAAAAGACAAAGATATATTCAGTTGAAAAATCTAAATAACTTTCGATGTTTGAAATATTGAAGATTTAGCCGGCTTTCTTTTAAGAGAAGATAGAAGTGATTATGACTTTCAAGACATGTGCACAACGTTAGTTAGTTAGTTTGTTTTTTCAGACTATTTTCGGGGAACCACGTTGTACATCAAACTTTCAAACTCATTCAAACGTCAAAAATAAACGAAAGCAATATAAAAAGCACCACAAGACTGCAATTCTAAGCAGTTCAATTTAGGGCTTTTTTGCGCTGCCTAAACTGGATAACGGGTTTTATGACTGGTTCAAGCTTTTTGCAGTGTTTTTGTGAGTAACCCAAGCCCTTAACTCATCTATTACCCTTAAAATTATAACTCCTAGCTACCAATTCATTTATCAATGGAATCAATAAAATTAATACAATATTTACTTCTTCTGAGCCCCCCTGCTTTGTTGAACGCTTCCGCGTCGGGGTACAACGTGGTTTAATCACTTCAATTTAACAACTGGAAGACACTGGTTCAAGTTCTGAACGATAAATTGGTAAAGGTATTCTAAGCTCGATAAAATTGTTAACGGTCATGTTACAAACAATATATATTTCCCGAAACTAACTGAAGGAAATGCCGACATAAAACACCTATCATACCCCTCAGCTATTCTTCACCTTTATGTTGGTTTCAAGCCATAAGGAACATATTTATGCACGGATGATTCGGGTTTCGATTCTGAGTAAGTGTGGCTGCCCCATACTTCTATATTCGTTTAATAATTTCATTGTTATGTCATAAACCCATAACAATTTGACATTAATGTTCCTCGAAAGTTGTATAAATAGTAGCTAATTGATAACCGGTTTTAAAAAAAACCAATGTGGCCGATTTCGACAGTTTTCCGATGTATACATTTGTTACGTACACTAGCACTACCATTTAAAAAATTAAAAGAAGAAGATATTATATCATTTTTTGTATGAAACTGGGCTGAAAACTATCAAATATAATCGAATATGCATGTAATAAGTGTTTTGACATTTTTATTGACGCCTGTTCACAACATTTGTTTTACTGGAAGATAGCGCAATTAAACTGACCTCCGTGAGCTTTTATTCTTATTAGTTATAAACCTTATTACCTGAGTGGCCTGACTAGGTGGGCCTTGTTATTGTACGTGTTGAGAACTCCGCAGAAAGAAGGATTTCCGTACAGTCGACGGCAAAATGAAGGTAAAGTTGCTATTACATTTTATTCCCTAAATATTATATATCCAAATGTAACTTAGATTGAGAACTAACCTATAAATTTTCCTTTTGATTCTTAGAAAGTGAAAAAAAAAACAACAAAAAAAACCACGTATTTCCGAGGAAATTTATATTCAGTAAATGTCACAATGAAATAATTTAAAATGTGGCTTCCGCTTTTCAACGCTGCAACAGTTGGTTTTGGACTGAAATGAATACCAACTAGAAAGCTGTCCCTGAATTTTGTTTTATAAAAAGTGTTACATCCAATGTTGTATTGTGAGGACTTTTTACAGGCTGATCTGTAGCAGGTTATTCTTACGATTTAGCCAAAAAATGTCATTCGATCTGTAAAACTTATTTTTAAATAAAGGGTAACACTTCCGAAATTAATTGGTCACATAGCAGCTACATACGTTTGAAACGCATAAAACAAGAAGGCAAAAATCAGCACTTTAAGACTATTCGATTTCAATGCAATTTGTCGAGCAACGTGGCTAACAATTTTCTTAACCGTGACCCACTGAGCGCAAAATTGATTAATTCGCATTCAATGACAAAAGTAAACTATGGAAATATATTAATTGAATTTACGTGTAAAATTGTCTTTATATAGTAGACAAAAAGACCGCGAATGTAAACCAAATTTAAAAGACCTTGCCATCATTAGCCACGGGAAACCCAGGTGACTTCAAACTAACCTCGGAAAAAATGCTGCGACAAATAATAGTATGTCCGAACATTTTACTAAAGAAATCACAGTAAAATCAAGAATGTCCAAAATAAGCAAAGACGGATTTAAAAAGGACATTTTGGAATGAATATGAACTTATCATGGACCGTTAGCTTATTGTATTCAAACTTTTAAGGATTTGTCACTGGAGAGTTGCGTAATTTATAGTAGCTTTCAAAAACGTTTGTCAGCTACAGCCTGGGGTCTTTTCATGATGCCAGGCTGTGTTGACACTGAACATGCTTGGCGGAACCGCGCGCTAAATTGCTATAACAAATTTTTAAACTGGGCCAATTTCTTTTTTTTTTCTCACTGGGAAAGAATATTTGAGTTTCGTAAGAAGAAAGAAATAGACCTTTTTAGCTTGTATGTTTTGTTTTCCCATTTTTACCCCGGAGAACTATTCACTTTGAAATGGCGCTCCATCGACGTGCATATGCGTGCCGCAATAAAAAGACAAAAAAGTAAATTTTGTTGTGAACATCACTAATTGTCTGAATTGGGAAAATAAAAGGTCTAACATTTATTTTAGTCAAAGTACAAGCTTTCTAATTTTACCGGCAAGTGTAGCCTGATTAGGTAAAAGCTCTTTTAATAAACACTGAGCCGTCCCTTCTCCACATAAATAAATGTTTACTCCACGATAAGTGGCCCTTTTTTAACCTATACCCCCCCTTTTTTTTTCTTCGTTATCTAGGCTTTAGTTCATCCTCTTTTTCTGACTGCAGTCATCCAACTTCTGCTCATGGACTGCGCTTACTCGCTGCCCTACAACACGAAGACCGGTGTTTTTCCTCGTGAAGAACAGCCTCTTATGAAAAGATTGGGTCTAGAAAACTCACAAGAAACTGAAGATCTGCCAAGCGAGGAAAATATGAAAAATCTTTCTTCTGCTATGAAGCCTTCAAAAGAATTTGGACCTAAAGTGCATCCATGTTTTAACACGACGGTAAACAAAACCGTAATTACTTCCAACGGTGAGAAAGTCCTCTGTTTGGTGCCGTCGGAAGCCGAATTGATGAAGTATCTTAAAGAATCTGGAGGCTTCAACAAACATTATGTAGCTGTCACTGAGGAAGAAGCGGAGGAAAGCTTTGAAGACCCTCTCAACCCAATTGTCTCGTCCAAACCGGTTTGGTCAACTGTGACTGGAAGGCGTCGAAGATTCAGTGATGAAGACGACTACTACATGGTGGGAAATACCAAAGGAACATTAGACAATAAACACCAAAAACGGAGTGTTAGCGGGCTTAAATCTTGCGTCGAGCAGGGTGAACGAAATTCCATAGGGATGATTCAACTCTGCGGGGAATGCGGGTGGGTCACGAAGTTACCCGAGGACAAGTTTCCGAGATACATCAACGAGCTTATCTGTGGTAAAGATGGCAACACTTTTTCCCATTCTCCTGAAATCTGCAATATGTTTCAAGGTGAGTGCATCCAAGGATCGCTGACGCAGGATCTTCTGGAGAGAACCGATCGCTACGAGAAGATTAATTCACTCGATCCTCAGTACCACGCAGTTTATAAGCAAGTTTGGCAGCCGTACAGTCAGGCCATAAGAAGCTGCTGTCAATGCCAAAACTTTTAGTCCAAAATGTTAGTTCCTAGCTGTTTCTATAGAAAAGTAGAAATGTTTATGGCATAGAGAACTAGGTTTTTAATTAACTGAGTAACAAATTGATTAACTAGGGTCGCAACGAGCAAATTAAGCTCTTATGAAGTGAAGTTAAACTTAAAATTTAAAGCACAGGAAGGTGATTATGACTGATTAAACTCATTTTTGTTTTGATGTTATTTTGTGCTATGTTCAGTTTTGTCTCTCCGTTTTCGTCAGCATTAACGGTTGTCGTACATATCTGTTGCACCGGGTATATGGTAGAGTCTACTTACTTTCGAGCTTGCAGTAGAAGCTCCATGCGCAACCACCTCCCCTAAGCGACCACCTCCCATATTAATTAAACTGAGGCGACCAACTAACCAAACGCTAAAATATTCTCCAGCCAAAGCCTTACGTGGTTGGAACCTCCCGTAAACCGCCCCTTTAGAAAACGAACGCATCCACGTTAGGAGGGGGTAGTTTTACTGACATTTTCCATTGTTTTTAACTCCTGCTAGAAATCTTTTGACATATAGCCTGATCTCCACGTTCGCTATACCGCACAACACAATTCAGTGTTTGCAAGAGGGACCTTAAGTGACATGTCGCTGTTAAGTTTATTTATTGTACGAGCAATCTATTCTCCGAGTAAATTAGTAGATGTGTCCCTGACCTATTCTCGGAAGAGACCCCCTGTGGTAATCCTCTGGTAAGCGACCAGTTATTTTTGGCAGCCGCCTATGGAAGGTTTGATTGAATTGACGAAAGCGACATGTACAGAAGCACAAGAGAAACACCTGGTGTGAATTATTGCTTTAAAGGAACACAGTCCCGTTACTGCGCATGTACCAAACTTTGATTTTCCGACAGGATATCGCAGTCTCAAAAGATGCGCAAGTAGTGTTACAGAACCTTCAAAAATCCTTGTTGTAGTTAATTATTTATCTCAGGTAATTTCTCTTTCTCTTTTTTTTTTTTTTTTTTGTTTTGGTAATGTATACTAATGAATTTGAAAAAAAAAAAAAAAAAAAATAACCGGAAAAAAAAAAAAATAAAATAAAAAATCCTTTTGCTTCGTGTTTTGTTGATTTATATACTACACTAAACCTTCTCAGAATTCTAAATAAATAACACATTTCAGAGGAAGCCCCGGGGGTGAAATATTGCTTTAAAGGAAAAAAGACCAGTTACGGGGAATATAACAAACTTTGTTTTTCCTACAGTATATCGCAGTCTCAAAAGATGCGCAAGTAGTTTTACAGAACCTTTAAAAATCCTTGTTGTAGTTAATTATTTATCTCAGGTAATTTCTCTTTTTCTTTTTTTTTTTTTTTTCAGTATGGTAATGTATACTAATGAAGTTGAAACAAAAGAAAAAGAAAAATTACCCGAGATAAAAAAAAATTAACTACAACATCCGTTTGCATCGTGCTCTGTTGAGTTCTATACTACACTAAACCTTCTCAGGATTACAGATCAATGACAAATTGTCAAGTTTTAATTTGTGTGAAATTGGTTGAAATCCGTTGGACGGTCAGGACATAACTGAGAAGAGGAGCCAGTTGAGAGGCGTTTTGAAGCTGGTTGAAGGCCTATTCTTTCCTCGGCTTCCATACGACCTCAGATTATTGTGAAAGGAATAAGCAAAAATGGGACAGCAGCGTATGAAAAGACAATATATGAAGAAATAAACCTATGAGACATGGATGTGACTGAGGAGATCTTGACGAATGATGTCTTGCAACAACGTGCAAGTCAAGTTAACCGCCTGTAAAAGTACGACCGACAAAATCAACCAAACAGGCACTCAATGCGGTCCCTTCGGAATTTTCTCTCTTGACGTCATCCTAACCATTTCGTACTTGCGGGCGCAAACAATAGAAACGTCATCATTACTTACCGATTCCTCGCGGCCCCTGTTCGAGCAAATCGAGATTTTTTCTAGTATACTGACTGTATATTTGAACTGTAAGTAGTGTCCTTAATATACGCGCGAGTCACTAGGGTGCCTCCTCGGGATTTCGCCTCTGGGCGAAATCCCTGCGGGGGCAATTACTCGAAACTGAACCGGATTACTGTCATTGTTATAAATTCAACTCACTATCTCTTTTCTGATTGGCCGAAAGCGTAGCTGCAGATTATACAATAATCATGTCAAGGACACTCAAGGTCACGGGTAATCATGTCATGTATGTCATGTATGACCGCGGTGCATGATTTCTAAGTTCGCGCTGTGTGTTGCTTGCCGTCAGTGAAGAAGCAAAAACATAACTTCCAGGTTTGCTTCGTTGACCGAGCAAGACATCGTAAAAATTTTTGAAGACAAGGACTCACAAAACACAAAAAAGTCGACGAAGGTGGCATAGGAGCTGTTTGCCACTTACGTGAAAGAGAAAAAACTGAGATAACCTGAGGAACAGAAAGGGTTGGCACAAACTTTTAAAACATCTTATGTCGAAGCGAGAAAGAAATAATTCGTTCAATATATAATAAAACAATATTAGATTCGGTTTTGTGATATCCAGATCATAATAATCAAGATCTCGGTAAGGGTTATCAGCCTTCGGCTTTGGCTGGTAACCTCACCTTGATTATTCTGGGTATCACAAAAATTTCATTCAATATTTGTTTAGTATTTAGTTGGTGGTTGATATTTTCAAGAACTTATTAACTTTAAGATTTGTTAACTTTTTATAACTTCATTAAAATGGGCTCTACACTATGGCAGCCCTTTTTATTTTTCCTCTGTCGGCGAGTTAGTGTGGGTGTCCTCTGCCTTTTACTACCTGGCATTCACTGCAGTTACGAATCTTCTCAGTGTCTTCTCTAAGTAGGGCTCTCACACTAAGTCTTGCTTAAAAGCTTTTGTAAACTTGTCAGGAATTGGCGAAGGGACATTCACATATTTTTCAGTCTTCACTAAGGAAATCTCTGCGAACAAATTTCCGGTAATCTGCGACACTTTGCTCCATGCTTAATATCATTAAGTGTTTCGTATTCGCAAGCAACTTCGTTGATATAAAGAGATAAACGGTTACAATTCAGTTGTGAGATTCTTTCGCACTCGCTGCACAAGCGAAATAGCCCTTGTGCGGTTTGTTCACCAGAAGGAACACAGCGGATTAGACCAATCCGCATATTATGTTGCTATCCACGCCGGCCGGCGTTGCCTAACATGCCGATTAAATTGCGTGATCCTGACTCCTCAAGTAGATTTGGATTGCGTGATTCAGGATTCATATTGTGAGAAACTGTCTTCAGTTTTCTTGACTCTACAGATGAATGGTTTTTCCTTATTTTCTGTTGGTTTAACACGTGGAAAAAAACTGGCAAATTTGCGGGCTTCTTCTGGCGTTACTGCAGCAAAATACCTGTTTAATTCGCCAATTAATTCTTTTAATTTCCCCACTAGCTCCTTCTCACTGGGAACCAAACACAATATTAGACCATTTATGCTTGGTACTATAACATTTTCCTTATAGGGTGAAAATTTTTGTTCACAGTGATCAATTTCCGTGACGTTTATATGCGTGGTTTGTGACAGGGTGACGTTTAATACATACGCCTATGCAAACCAAGATGAAGGCTACTTTGTTGATCACCTACCGAAACGGAAGAAAGGTTCGTCACTAGAGAATTTTAAATTTTGGAGTTTGCATTCATGTATCATATTCGATTCATAACGCCAGAGATCTTAAGGCATTCACAATCATCATCATCATCATCATCATCATCATCATCATCATCATCATCATCATCATCATCATCATCATCATCATCTTTACCATCATTATTATCCTTGCAAATCCAATATTATAAAAAAAGCTGCATCATTTCAAACAATTTTTGGGTGTAAATCTTTAGCCATGGTTAGTTTCGCTCTTTCAGAAGTGCTCAGTAGAATTTAAATTCTTACATTTTGGTGAACTTTCAATGAAGTTCTCAACGGTGTTAAAAGAGTGGAAATGTCATGAGGGTTGATTAATCTTCCGTTTTGTCATTAATATACAGATTTAGCCAAAGGCCAAAAGCGAAGCTCTCTAGGAATGTTTTAAGAAAAGTCTTTCTCAAGTAATTCAACCTTGCCATAAACAGAAAGCAAACTAAACTCCACCTTTAAAAAAAGGTACCTGAGCCCGAGATCAATTGAAAACCAAAAACTGTTCAGCGGATAACTTTTAAAAAGTGCGTCGTTTCAATGAGTTGTATAGCTGAGCTCGCGATACAGTAATGTGACAATGGTCAGCGGATGCCCTTTTTGGACAGCTGTCAATTGACCAAAACACTGATGTCCAATACCCCGGCAATGATTCACTGAAGTGGAGTAAATATCCACCATTAGCCACCGACAATTACAATCATAATATTTTGGAGCACAAATTAATTATGACCGAACGGCGCGTCGCGTTGTCGATTTCGGTTTACAGTTGACTCCTGATAACTCGAATCTCGCGCCAACTCGAACCAAAATCGATTTCCCCTGGATTTCCGTCATGCTTTAATTTACTGTAATTTTACCCTCGGTAACTCGAATCCTCGATAACGCGAACCTTCCGCTAACTCGAAGTAGTTTTTGTTTCCCCTCAGATCATTTCTATATAATTTTACCCTCGATGACTCGAACCATGTTTTAAGCCCTTAAAAGTCGGGGAAAAAACAGTCTACTGGCGTCCCTGGTCAAACATTGAATTTTGAATTTCCCATTGACGTGTTGTGAGCATATAGTATACTACTGGAGGCTGATGTTATTAAGCCACAAAATCTAAAGTAAAACAGCTTTACTTCTCAAAACAGTAAAACGAATGCTCTATTTTGGCAATGCTTACGTTACGTTTTGATTTATAATCTAGAGTATCCAAAAGGTCTAGATAGCAGCAACAATATAGATAGTCGTATAAACATAACAACTTTCTTTAATTTTCCAGACATGTTTCGACGGTACATCCGTCATCTTCAGTGTTACATATTTTGAAATCGCCGTTGAATTTAAAGCGCGCGCGATCTTACAAAGTTCGTTACATTGCGTTGTCAATATTGCGTACTAAAACAAAGTTAAATGAGTGACGCTTAGTTCTTTACAGGGAGAGAGTCAGGTTAATGTGTTTCACCTGCTGGTTGAGATCGGGCTTCTCCCATTTTATAAACATGGATTCCTTAAGCTTCACTTGGTACTTAGTGGCTGCAGAGTCCAGGATCTCGAAGCAATCCGGTGTGCAGGATGCTCTACAAAACTCTGAACCCTGCAGATGTTTAAAAACGTTCGAACGTTCGAGATTTTTTGATTTCTCTTGAACGTTCGAGTTATCGGGAGTCGACTGTAGTATCGCTGATGGACAGCTCTGGTTCCGAAACAGAAAGTCTTCGAATCGCGGACTTCCGGCTTGTTAGTAGTCGTTGGAAGGAAACGAGAGGTATAGATTAAACACAGTAGGATGAAAGAACGATGGCGCATGCCGTCACTTCTAGTGACCGATCTTAATCCACTATACACACAGAATCTTTGCGACCTCCTGAAATTCGTTCTCACTATAAACGTATTATTCCATTTCTTACTGAAGTTCACTAAAGGTAGCCTGTAGCCCTTGTCTACAATTTAGTTTATTTTATTTTTCTTGCTTCTGCTATATTTGTTACCAGGTTTTTTTAATTACCAAGAAAAATCCTTGTTACTTTTGCGTTTTTTTGCCACATTTGAGTACATTTCGGGGCCCTTCTTGGCTTCTCCTCTTTTCTTGATTCTTGTTAGATTTGTTATTTTTTGCGATATTTGCGATATTTGTCATGGGTGTTTTTAGCTCACAAGAAAAATCCTTGTTACTTTTGCGATTTTTGCGAAATTTGCCGACATTTCGGGGTCCTTCTTGGTTTCTTTGCTTTCTACGTCTTGAATGTTATTACATTTGTTATTTTTGCGATTTTTGCGATATTTGTCATGGGTTTTTTAGCTCACAAGAAAAATCCTTGCTACTTTTGCGATTTTTGCGATATTGCGAACATTTCGGGGCCCTTCTTGGCGTCTTCTTTTTACAAGTCTGCAATTTTGTTACATTTGTTATTTTTGAGATATTTGCGATATTTGTCATGGGTGTTTTTAGCTAGCATGAAAAATCCTTGTTACTTTTGCGGACATATCGGGGCCCTTCTTGGCTTCTTCTTCTTCTAAGTCTTGAATGATATTACATCTGTTATTTTTACGATTTTTGCGATATTTGTCATGGGTGTTTTTAGCTCACAAGAAAAATCCTTGTTACTTTTGCGATTTTTGCGATATGTGCGGACATTTTGGGGCTCTTCTTGGCTTCTTCTATTTCTAAGTCTGGAATTTTCTAAGATTTGTTATTTTTGCGATTTTTGCGATATTTATTGTCATGGGTGTTTTAGCTCACAAGAAATATCCTTGTTACTTCTGCGATTTTTGCGATATTTGCGGACATTTCGGGCCCCTTCTTGTCTTTTTTTTCTTTCTAAGTCTGGAATTTTGTTACATTTGTTATTTTTGCGATATTTGTCATCGGTGTTTTTAGCAAGCATGAAAAATCCTTGTTACGTTTGCGATTTTTGCGATATTTGCGGACATTTCGGGGTCCTTCTTGGCTTCTTTTCTTTCTAAGTGTGGAATTTTGTTACACTTGTTATTCTCGCGCTTTTTGCGACATTTGTAAGTGATTTTCCGACATAATTTTTTCTCAATTATTTCTTTTGCGACAATTGCGAAAAACATTTGCTAGCAAATTTTTGCTAACAAGATCGATCCTGGACATATGTCATTAATTTTTAGCACTAAATAAGAAGACATGTGTTGCTAGGCGATCGCTCCTCTCATTCCTATCTTTTTTTAAAAGACGTTCCACTCATTAGTTACTAGAATGGAGGTTATTCAAGAACCAAAAGAGTTAGGGTTTACTTTAGAACCACCTGTTGCTTTCTATAGAATTTTTATACCCTGTGCAATACTTTCTACAGAGTCGAGTAAACAAAGATTGACATTTTTGCTTGATAGGCAGTTTTTCGCTGAGCTGAGCTTCGACCTCGTTTTCATGTTTTGCCTGAAAAAAATTAGTACGATTTTGCTTTCGCTTAATCTCAATTTCCCTTCTTTTGAAGTAAAGATTTTTCAGTTAACCTCTGTGTCTTGGTTTTGTTTATAACCGATTTTTAGTGAAAATTCGGTCCCTTATCCACTACTTTTATACTAAACCTACAGCCGAACATCAGTACCGAGTTTTACGCTCATCATGTCACCCCTTATACACTAAACCAGCTTTTCCATTCAGCCTTGCCCTGAGAATCCGACGTACTATATGTTCCTCCCACGATACGTACAATCTCGGTCTCCTCAACCAGGAGATACAACGTGTTTATACCATCACATACACTCACACAAGCGACTCACCCACACGTATCCCTCTGGTTGTCGGATACCACCCAGCCATTCGCTCAATATCATCTATTTTTCACAAGCACATTTACATTCTCTCATCCTCCCAGCTTTGTGCTACTTTGTTTAAATCTATACCACTCATTACCTTGCTACGTACCAACAAGCCGGAAATTCGCTATGTGGACTTCCCGTTCGGAACCAGAACTCTCGATTAATGTTAAAGTGTTAAACACTGTTCAAAATCCTATATTTTTCCATAGGATCGTCGAGAACGAGCGATACAGGCGGCCATCTTGACCGGGTCTAGCTTGAACTACTTAAATCGCGGGGGACGGTGTTGGAACCCCGTGGCCTGCTCTCTCGGTACTGACATTTGAATCCAATTACAAAATGGCTGCCAGTGAAATAAAAGTGAGCGCTCGAAAACAAGGGGACTGTGAACAGTCTATGAATGTTATAATTGATTGTGAATAATTATTTCATCACTTTAACTAAAGGCAGTTGTAATAAAAAAGTCATTTCTTTAGGTTCCGTAGGTCCCCTGGTCTGCAGTTCCACAGATTAGTTTTACTCTGAATCTCTTGACATTTTATCAATCATGTTTCATGTTCGTAAACTGTTTTATTTGACGACTGTCTAGTCTTCTTTTTTTTCTCTTTTTTCCCTGTCTAGTCTTCTTGGTATTATAGTTTCGATATAGCTATGTTAGATGAATTAGTGATTTGTTTTGACTACGGTACTGTTTCCAAGATTCTTTACGTGCCCGTTTCAAGTGTTTTGACAGAGTGAATTATTCGAAACGAAACTGGAAGTGCCGTACCAGTTGTCGTTGATGAAAAGGTATGCCAAATACTAATAAGATATCAGTCAAAGTATCATAGCTTAGATAACAAAACGTCATTAAAGATATTGCTCGTTGATAGCCATCTAAGTTCCATAAGAAGATCCCGCGGATTTTGTTGTTTAAAAGCAGAAAGTGTCTTATAAGGTTCGGCGAGAGAAGTGTAGTTATCATTGTTGTAGCTTTACAATGGAAATTTCTCAATTGCAATCAAAACAAAGAACTTGGGCTCTAGTATAAGATTTAATACTTGAAATATGTTTTAGTAGTCGCATGTAGTCCTGTATCTGATATCCTATTTATAAATGTATGGCTATATTCAAGTTAGCCATGAGAGGTAGCAAGTTTTCAAGAGTTAAGGATTATTCGATAAACTTTGCTAACTCTTTTATCTTTATCGAAACTATAGAATTGTGTTCATTTCGAATTGACCACGCCCTTTATTTAATGCGTATGTACACTGACCAACAAAGGCAGGCACATATTTGAATTTTTGATTCTGTTTCTACTTTTTTACTGTTCTTTCCGGTATTAGTATTACCAATACAAACAAACGATCTGCGTCACTGATATTTTGTATATTGCAATTCTCAATAGAACTGTAAGCCACATTTGAATTAAGGAGCTAGTATATGTTTTTTTGAAGAATTTGCAGGGATTTACAAAGTTTCAAAAATCATGATAGTGGTTGAAAAATGAGAAGGCGTCAAGCCTGAGATCAAATCGAATAGAAAGAGATCGAGCTCAAGTCGAGAAAATTGAACTTTGATAGAGGCCTGACGCAGTAAATGGTTCGGTCAAAAGGTATTACGCATTCCGCGGCACTTTATTTTTATTAATCTTTTTTTTTTCCTGTTTACTATATTGATGTCTCATACACTGCAGGCACCTGTAAACACGTCAGTACTAGTCTAAGAACGCTTAATTAAGCTACATCTTGATGGGAAATGTCTTCTGCTTCTCCGTGGTTGACGAACAGGGTGAAATTGCATATAAAGCAATCAGCGAACTTGGCCGCCGGAACTTTTTTTTATACTTCATTATTGTCAAGTGCTTTTGTTATTGAGTACACAAACGTAAGCCGATCGCGAGCGGACTAAAAAGGCTTTGAGCGTCAAATTAATCATTACTTATGTACAGACAGTCGAATATATCATCACTTTTTTTAATCACGTAAAATGTTGCAATATAACAAGAGGTTTGACATTTGGTACCCCTCCAAATATTGAACCTCTCCATTCCAGATCTTCCTTTAAATGGTCGATCTATTACTCCAAGAGTCATTTCGATCTGAATTGGAGCACTCTTACATCTGAAATACACCGGAATTGCTGAACAACTTCTCTGTTGTTTGAAATCAATGGATTCGTTTCCTCTTTGTATTAAGGTGAGTAACTCACTCATTTTGATTCATCAACTATGAACTAGTTACCTTCTAGTCTGCAAATAGGTTTATACGCGTTATCATACAATTTTAAAAGAGTTATAGTCCTCGTAAATGAGACAGATTCTTCCTTAATAATTGTATATATATTGTTAAAGTATTACTGGGCATTGTTCGCCAAGAAAAAAAGAGACGAACCATTTCCAAGGTCTTCTAAGATGCTAGCCTTTAGCCACTAATGTTCCAAGAGAAGCACAATCTTTACTTCAACAACCGGTGAATAATTCCGCTGAGCAGTTGAGTTTTAGAAGTGATTTTCATTAGAGTCGTCTCTAGTTCGATGAAGGGTTCTGCAGATAAAATGGTAGTCGGATACTTATTTCCTTCTGTAGTGACTCTTACTGCAGTCTGCCAAGTTTTCGATGATACAAACATACGCAGCTAATTTGATGCAGGACCGCCTGTGCAAAGCTTTTTATCGCGGAGGCATGTAAGAACAATCGGCAGTGAAGTGCGTTAGATCAGAATATAATATTTTGAGCCAAAAAAAAAAAACAGAAATGGTTAAACACTAAGTATGAAGAGATATATTGTAGTTAATCCTTTTTTAAAATTCAACTCTTAGTTTATAGCTTAATCATACAGGAACCGCGGCAATTATAATCTGTGTAAAAGGTAAATTGGGAAAGAAAGATATTAGACTTCTCAGATCTTTCCCAAAGCTGAAGTAGAATCTGTTTGTGAATGGAAATAGACACATCATTTGTGATTGTATTATATTGATAGCAATTATGATCATTTTCCTCGGTATACTTCCGTTGTTAAATTTTTTTGCTCGGAGATGATAGTTTGCCGGCTAAATTTACAAAATCTCAGTTTAGAAATACCACCAAGGCAAGGAAGTATTTTGAGTTATCGCCCGATATTTGCATTACCGAGGCTGGAATAACTTCAGTTGTCTTGTTATTCATACGTTTTACATGTGTAAAGAACTTAAACTTAGTATTGTTTAGCAAGTATTTGTTCATTCGAAAGTGGCGTCCTGAACAAATAGTACAATTTAGAAAACAAAGATAATGCAAATAATGCAATAAAGTACTTCAGGAAATCGTCTTTCTCTGATCTACAGTGAATATTGGCCGTCATTTACATAAATTACTTTCAGCATTTTTATTGCGGGCGACAAGAGGAGCCCGCAGCCTAATCTTGCTAAACTTGGTCAGCGGCACTTTATTAACTGTGTGGCGAGATTTTTCTCGATCTGTTCTCATTCTTGAGATTCCCATGTTCTCCCGACCAATATGCATGCTATGTGGCCGCGAAGGCCCTGGTGTTGAGTTTAAGGTCCGTGATGTCACGGTAATCACGTGAATGCACATGCAAGTGATGCAACAATAAATTATTACATTCGATTCCCAAGCACACGTAATTCCGGTACACAAGTATTGCATTAAATGGGAGACTTTTCGATTCGCCTTGCTGGCCTGGAATCTATTTACCCAGGAAAATGAGAGCATAGCCTGATCTCAGCTTAGTGCGGGACAAGTTTTCGCTAAGATACGATCGCGAGTGTTAGCAAAGTCTAGAAATCGATCTAAGTTTATTCCCGTTTTACTACAGTGCATGGTTTTTATATTTTTGTAAGTTTCCAAGTTGTTACTTCACTTTTCATCCGAGCAAAAGCTTCAATTAAGCTTTAAACTCCAGTGGTAATTTAAGTTGTTTCATAGTATTGCATATCGACGGCCTTTCGTCATTGGACACGGATTGAATATTCGATTTAATTTAAATAAGATTTCGTGCAGTCATGTCCGTAAACATACATTACTTGTGTCACGCATTGCTGTTTCAATGTATCTTTGCTGGCGCGAATACAACCGTCTCCTCGCTCCTCACCATAATACAGGCTAATTGTATCCAAGCACATGTGAATAAAATCGTTTAATTAGAGCGGTTTTCACTTGACTGTCGAAAGGGATTGGTTTTGGTTTTGGTTTTGGTTTTACTACGCCCTTTGGTTGGCTAGTGTATTTACTTTGGTTTTGGTTTTACGACAGTCAAGTGAAAACCGTAGTGTTTGGGGGGGGGGGGGAGTAAGCAGGGATTTAAGGGATACAGATGAAGTAGGCAGGGATTTTTTTGAGTAGTGGTGGGGTGTGCTAGCAAAAGGATGATATTATTCGTGGGAAATGGATACTAGAAATTCTATTTATTAAGTGCATAATATTGGAAGTGGGAGCTCCAGCCTTGAGTTTTGTCTTCGACTAAAATAATGAGATAGAATGCACTTTTTTGAGAACTGATTTATGCCTTTTGCAATACAATAATAATTATTGTATACATTGTATATATACCACATGAGAAGGGAAAGGAGGAGGTCCACTTCATCACATTGTTAGAGGCCTTTAACAACAATGACCGCAATGACAGCAGTAATGTCACTTTTAAAAAGTCTCTTTGTTTTTTCATAATTTGTCATGATTATTTCAACTCACTCAAAATGTCCAATGTACTAGGTAAATTTCCCAAGCCTCGGTTATTTAACAGTTGAATAGTGTTATCCATCAGATGGAGCGGTTTTCACTTGACTGTCGAAAGGGATTGGTTTTGGTTTTGGTTTTGGTTTTACTACGCCCTTTGGTTGGCTAGTGTATTTACTTTGGTTTTGGTTTTACGACAGTCAAGTGAAAACCGCTCTAAATATGAGTTTTGTTTACTATGTTGTTCAATCCAGTCTAGGTTTCATGATCGGCAGTGATATACTTTTGTTGACACTGGAACTAAAAGCGCTTACACAATTATGAGAGCGGTTTTCATCAATCACATATTCGTCCGCATTTCCTATATAGCCAACGGCTACTGTAAGCCTATAGGGTATTTATTATAAACTGTACCCACGATCGGTCCACTTATTGGCTAAGATCCTACAATGAAATTTTTGAAATAAACGCAACCTAATCTGTAGGTTGCGCGCTCAATGCATGATTTCCAATAGCCGTGTCAGACTGTGTTCCGTGCGACGGTGTGTTTGTCGAGCTATGTTGGCCTACGTTGCACTATAGGTGGAAAATGCAAATGAGTGTTACTATGTACAAAGTTTATCATGCAGCTGTACTTCGACATGCAGTTGCCCAAGCCTAAAACGAACTCATTATAAAGAGCTTTGCTTATGGCGGGGTAATAGCTTGGACTTCACTTCTCGAATCATATTAGGAAGACTTCAACGCTCTATATGGGTTCAAAGCGTGCTTGAGAAACCACCATGACATTAAATTGCATTAGGTGTTTAGTTATCACCATAGAAATACGTTTATCGCAGCACCTCGCGGACCATAAGGTGTCCAGAATTCCGCCAGTAGGATTGTAAGCGGAGCGGGAAAATTCGGTCACATTACTCCCTCGTTAAGGTGACTCGACCCAGTTTTTTTGGGGGGGTACCATCCTACTTTGAAGCTCTCTGGTATCCCCACCTTTACTTTTATCGTAAGTCTAACGCATAGAATGGATAACATATAGATCAATCTACAATATAACATAAAATTTTTGGCGATCGGAGTAAATGTCACGTGGTTATAATGCCACGCCCCTTTGAGGTCTGAGTCGAAAATCTGCTGTTGCCGGCATTTTTTCGTGAAAATCTCTCGGCTACACATAGTGCGCATTAGTGCCTTGCGCTGAACAGAGTTTCACCAAAATCGCAAAGACCCAATTCGAGAAATTCAGCGGTTTCCAAATTTAGGTCATAATTTATGCGAAAATGATAAGCAAACTTTACACGGATTATATCTAATAAACTATGAGATTCATCTCTTTATTTTGGGCATCGTTATAACAGATGGGTCCTTGCAAGTCAGCAAAACGCTTTAGGGCCTTGTAAATGCGCGCGATTTCGAGCAAAGCAAACATATAGAAATTATAGTTTTCGCTATTTGTTGACGTTTGTCAGCGTTTAAGAGTCCTTCTCACGAAAAAAGCATTTTCTTAAAAATTCGTAGTTTTTTTTCCTTCAAATTTTTTCAGGGCCACAATTGATTAACTAACTACCCGGACTCTGAATTTCATGGTCATTGAAAAACTGTGACATTATCTTCTATAAGCCCAAACTTGAGTAAACATTGAAGATTTTTAGCGTTTTGGCTGAGTTTGTGCTTTGGGAGTTGTCTATTGTTTCTAGTCTGTCATTATACAGCATTCTTGTTCAGCACGCGTGCAATGACCACGCTTGGCTGACTTCCGAATGCTCACCGAGATATTCCCGTCACGAGTTGGTTTAATTATTGGCTTGCATTAAACCTATGAAAAAATGATATTTTTTTAATAGTAAGTAGATTTAGTGTGTAGCACTTCTTGATTTTTTTGCAAAGGCACAAGAAGCACGAGAATTGATTAAAAATTGTGAGTTAAACCTCTATGTATCACGCGATGGCCTGTCTCACTGTACCAAAATTATAATATCTCGGTGAGCATTCGGAAGTCAGCCAAGCGCGGTCATTGCACGCGTGCTGAACAAGAATGCTGTATCATGACAGACTAGAAACAATAGACAACTCCCAAAGCACAAACTCAGCCAAAACGCTAAAAATCTTCAATGTTTACTCAAGTTTGGGCTTATAGAAGATAATGTCACAGTTTTTCAATGACCATGAAATTCAGAGTCCGGGTAGTTAGTTAATCAATTGTGGCCCTGAAAAAATTTGAAGGAAAAAAAACTACGAATTTTTAAGAAAATGCTTTTTTCGTGAGAAGGACTCTTAAACGCTGACAAACGTCAACAAATAGCGAAAACTATAATTTCTATATGTTTGCTTTGCTCGAAATCGCGCGCATTTACAAGGCTCTTAAGCGTTTTGCTGACTTGCAAGGACCCATCTGTTATAAGGATGCCCAAAATACAGAGATGAATCTCATAGTTTATTAGATATAATCCGTGTAAAGTTTGCTTATCATTTTCGCATAAATTATGACCTAAATTTGGAAACCGCTGAATTTCTCGAATTGGGTCTTTGCGATTTTGGCGAAA